TTTTCTTGATGTCTGTGAATAGCTGATGTACTGTCTCATTGTACTCACATTTCTTATCCAATATCTGACGAATACAAAAGATCTGATCTGTAGTTTATCTGTTCCGTCGAAACCCACACTGATGATCCCCAATAATTTCATCTATATGTGGACTTAACCTTGAGAATAATGTTGGATAAAATTTTGTATGAAGTTGATAGCAGAGATATCCCCCGATAATTACTACAGTCAGTTTTATCCCCCTTTTCGTGAACTGGTATAATAGTAGACTCCTTCCACTGCTCAGGCAATGTTTGCTCATCCACTCGTTTTCTTTCTGTGTGAAATGTTTTCGTATCGTATGTAGTTGACACATATCGTGGTGTCGTAATTACGTCATGGGTCATCGGTTTAGAAGCACTGCTTTAAACGTATGGGAAACACAAGAGTAGCCGGCAATATCTGCCTGGTATTTATTTTGGACTGCTGAGTTTGTGTCCAAACCTCGACGCCGAGTGACTATAGTTAAAAGCAAATAATGGCATCTTCATTTGAAATGTTAAGGGTAGACTTAGTTTAAATAACGTCTCCTGAGGCTCGCACAAATTAACTGAGAACAGAAAAGCAACTTTATTCAGGATAGCCTGTTCCCGGATGGGATTTGAAGCAGGAATCTCTAGGAAGAATATCACAGGCGTTGCCACAGTATTAATGCGGGCATGAAGAAGAAACGGAGAGAGAGACAGAGAGGGAGAGAAGAAAATAAAAGAGAAACAGGAAAGATGAAAATCAGCTAATGGAAGAGGGGAAATTATGGAATGATAGAATGGGCGAAAAATAGAAAGAAAGAAATAAAGGATGAAAAGTACAAGAAGTTCCGGGAAGGACTAATCGTCCACTTTCCTCTCATATGACACGGATCGCACAGAACACGACGAATCCAAAAATTCTTCTATTGTTGCACGTGTATTCGTTGCAGCGGTAACGTTTTTACTGACCCGTTGCTTAGCAACGATATGGGATACACATGAAGACACACAGACTGGTGGGAGGGATTTATGAATTACGCCGTTAAGATTATATTCATACCAAGCTTAATAAAGATTGGTTCAGGCATTCAAAAGGGGGAGGGGGATACACAGACACACAGACAGCATGGTGCTCTCATAAGCCTACTTTCGGTTTTTCAAAATAAGGAAAGTAGGGTAATAAACAAGAAACGGAGAGAAATATAAATAATTAAGTAAATAAATAATAAAAATAGTGAAAGGAAAGAAAGAATACAGAAGAATAAAAATCAAATCAAATCTGAGATTAAAAATAGAAGGAATCGACATTTTAAAACAACGTATGTAGTTCAGAAATCTAACGAACCGTCCCTCCTCTGTCGAGTTACTCCATGTGACACTTCTGCACCAGATGTAGGCTGTTCACACATTAGCGTCTCTTTGTCGCCATTAAATTTCCCTATTCCGAATGATAACATCGAATTTCCAAGATTTATGTTACCGGTAACCACCACCCTGTTACTGCTGGTCCATGGCTGGTTCTGTGTGCGAAGAGCAATGCGGATTCCTGGGTTTGAAATATTCAAGCCTTCCCAGTAACGAATATCTGGCGGAACTCCAGTATTTACTTACTGTTCCCAAAACCTGTTTCTGTGTTGAAGCTCATGAAACAATAAAGCATAACAGCGCATCTCCGCAAACGACTGTTGGTGTTCCACTATTTAAATTATTTAAAAATCATTACTTATTCATTGACTCCGGCGAACGTGCTTGAATACAAATGTTCATCCCTCCAGAAAAATAAAAAAAAAACACCTCTGCATAGAGGCTTTTAAATTGAATGCTAGTAACTGATTGGCCGCTTTGTACGTGCCCGCGTGCAAGCTTGCTTACTATTGGATGGAGCAGGTTTGTCTCCCCTCTGGCGGCGCGGTTAGTATCCTGCAAGGTAGCCAGAGACTGAGAAGGCATCAAGCGTTGTGTGAGTGAATTGTGGCTTCTCTCTGCTTCAGTTTTCATCACAAATATAACAGAAAACTACTTGTTTAACCTCAGCCAGACTTTTATAACGCCTTGTTAGTGTAGCTAGACTGTTTGAAATCGGGTTCTGTGTGTTGGGAGCTAGACCATCTTTCGATTATTCAAAAGCCGAGGGAGGAGTGTCCCTCGGCCCGGGGAAGCGAGCGCGGTGTAGAGCAACCGTAGAGAAGGAATTCGTCTACCGACTCTTCGTGTTGTTCTAACCTCAAGAAAGAATTTCTGCAGGTGGAAGTGTGAAACTATCAACAGAACGGTGAGTTGTATTTTATACTTGATTTCATTGTGTTGCCTTTGGTTGATTTTTATGAAGTGCATTTTTTTTTCATAGTACAGACCCGTAAATCGTGAAGTCAAGAAAGGAATGCAGCACGTGGAAACTAAAAGTGACTTGAGTTGCTAAGCGTGTAACACCAATTACAAATTTCTATTTACGTAGGTCGAACCAGGCTCTTATAATGAGACAAGTAAATGCTCTTTTATGGCTTACTCCAGAATAAACGTGTTACATGAGCCAACGGTTTCGAAGATCAGTCGAAGGGCGCGTATCATTGTAAAAGCAGTTGTATGTACATAGTAATAGCTGTGAATATATTATTTGTGACATAATGCTAAGTGTAGGTGTTGCAAGAATAACTTGAAAATATTGCATACGTCGGTAATTGTATTATTTTTATTAGAAGAAGTGTATATAATTTTTATTATAAAATTATTATACTTGATTTGTTCTTTCAGAATTTCTGTTTCCGGTACATTGACGCAGGGCTGTTATTAAGAGTTGCAAGGTTAACTTTCTCATAATTTCATGAAACTCAACATATATTCTTGCATATTTAACAGAAAAACGAATGTTCCACGAATTAAAACCCCATCTTCTCAAAAGTTGCCTTACGTGCTGGCCTGTGAGAGCCTCAAAATCAATAATTTACCGGCTAGTTTACAGTAACTCTTAGGCCTATTATCATTAACATGAAAATCGCATTATGTGTTATATATGTTTCTGGTCATAGTATAATATTACTGTTTCATATAAATCTGCTCCAGTAGGCCTATCGATGCTGTTTGTTGCAAGAATAAAGGCGAGCATGGTAAAGTTGCTCTTGTGGGTAATTACGCATCACGTCGTGAAGACGTTTTGGAGAGTGGCGGTAAAGCTCCATGCATTCTTAAACTCGAAATTAGGAAAGAGGTGATTGGTTGACTCCTCGGTCCCGTCACTGTAGCTTAAGGTAAAAAGCCCATGATGCTATGTGTAGGAGGATGGGTGGGTCCGGAGCCGGTCTCAACGCTGTAGAAAAGACAAAAAGCTGTTGTCTCTGTTAAGATTTGAACCGCGACTTTTTAATTTTTCACCCCGTCGCCATATCTATTAAGGTGTTCCAACAGCTTGAAAAAAATTCCTTGGATATTACCTTGTTTCATTTTGTCTTTGTAATTGTGTGTTCGGAAATTTATAGCTTGTTAAAAGACTGATTTGGGGACTCACGGTAGCGTAATTGGTTGAGGCACTATGCTACAACCCGGAAGGTCGCTGGTTCGATTCCCGATATCATTGGATTTTTCAGTTGACATAATCATTCCAACCGCACTATGGCCCTGGGTTCGACTCAGCTTCAAACAGAAATGAGTACCAGGAATCTTCCTGCGAGTAAAGAGCGGCCGAGCATAAGCCTGACAACCTCAGCCCCGTCTATGAGCAGACTGTCTACAGAAAATATGGAAGCCTCGACATCTCACGACTCTATGGGCCTCCACGTCCTGTTACGGGGATAGCTTTACCTTTTTTACCTTAAAAAGACTCAGATACATCAGTTTACTAAACTGTCGTTTCTTTAATGTGAATTTAATGTTCTTACAGATTCGTGAATTTCCCTACGGAATGCATTGAGTGTAACTGTTTAATTTTTATAGGATTGTAATGCATTTTAATTTGCTTATCAATTGTTCTATTTCTGAGTCATGCTGTAGTGGTATTTTAACACCAAAATATAAAAAACGACCCCCCCCACTGCAAGAAGTCTCTAAATCCTACGTGAAACAACGCAACAATAGATACTTCATTAATGAATGATTATTACATCGAAGTTTAGTTGTAATATACGAAGATAGATCGTAGAATGCGCCAAGAATAGTGATGCAGCCGTGTGATGTTCGACTATGCAACGTCGCATAGCAAGTGCTTGGAGCTGTGAGTTGCAACGAACTTTTATGTGGCCTTCGGGTTACAACATACTGCCTGATGGTTGAATGAATCGCATACACCCAGTACATTCCAGTGTATGACGATACGAGGCTTATATTTAGTTCACTGGCTTGCTGTCAAATGGAGCGTACATCCCTAGGAAGAAAATACCGTAGTCCACTGACGGATTCAGGGACAGATCAGTAACTCTGTAGTAAATCGTGACCTTCCCGGAACACCACTAGGAGCTGGAAAACCGGGCTAACCATTGGTTCATTCTTTCTCCTGTGCGGTTATGGGGCTCCGTAGGCACGTGCTTTCTTTTGTGCGTCTCGGCTAGCACGCACTTTAAGAAAGATTTTTCTAACCTGTCTAAGCATTACTGCTAGGCGCATTGTTTGAACGGCTCCTCCGAATATCATGTGTGGCCACCAACATTTTTTCTCCGAATGATACAAAGATTCGCCGAGCAAGTTGGCTCAAGCATTAACGCTTCTGAATTTTATTCAGGTCGATCACGGTAGCTGAGCGGTCTAAGGCGTGTACTGTCTTCGCTCGGAAGCCGGGATCGTGGGTTCGAATCCCACACAAGACATGTGTTTATTCTGTGTTTGTGTTGTCCTGTGTTTAGGTAGAGGCCTTGCGACGAACTGATCACTCGTCCAAGGTGTCCTACCGTCTGTAAAATGATCAGAATGAGGGGGTAAAAAAAACGACCTCGACATTTAAGGTATGTAGGTGGAACGGATTAAATGGCTAAACTTTTATTCGGGGTGGGGGGGTGCCTGGTACAAATGTTCTATCATCCTGACTGAGGTCTTTCGTGGTCTTCCTCAGTATCATCAGGCGAATGCCGAGATAGGCCCTTATGACCAATTTCTTCAACATATTTCACCATTTCATCGTTCAGTAAAGATCACCCAATCTGACGGTACATAATCGGAGACCCTGACAGCGTCTTTAAATAATCCGTAAATAAGTTGCAAATAGACTGATAAGTACAGATGTCAGAAGTAGCCAGATTAAAGGCATTAGGAAGTTCATTAGGAAGTTTGCTACATGTTTGTGTATATCTATACTACAGCATCGGATAGAAATTCGAAATTTAGACGACTCAGGTGTTCAGTTTCACACCCCATACAAATTATCGCCGAACTTGTGGAGGGGGGCACAATGCTACAAGCCGAAAGGTCGCGGGTTCGAGTCCCGATGAGGTAGATTTCTTTTCCAATTTACCAAATTTTTCCAACCGCACTATGGCCCTGGGGTCGAGTGAGCCTCTAACAGAAATGAGTACCAGGAATCTTCCTTCGGGGGGGGGGGGGG